AATAATAATAATAATAATAATAATAATAATAATAATAATAATAATAATAATAATAATAATAATAATAATAATAATAATAATAATAATAATAATAACAAAATGGCATGGTAAGTGACGCTCCTCCACCCACCCTTCAAGCCACAGCCACCTTAAGTTGAAAATTTTAAATGGCACGACCCTACTTGCGATGCATCGTTGGAAAGCCCACAACAAGCGCTTTTCAAAAATGTCATACAACAGCCTATTTGGTAAAGTTATTTTTCCAATTATTCAAAAACGAAGACGTTAAATTTTCATTTTTTTTACAATATTCAAGGGTGGGTGGAGGTGTCACTTATCATGTCATTTTAATTCCCCCTAGGAACCACCAAAACGGTTTTGAGTGATTATTAATAACTTTTTCAGTTGAGAGAAATTGCCGATTGCAAGTTTTAAAATTGACACAGTGTATATAACCCATTAAACGTCGTTATTTAGATACTCATTTACACTGTAAAAAGCTTTTTCTCTTAGAAATAGATATAAACGATTTCTGAATATATTAACTGATGTTATATTTTTGATATGTGGAACACTAATAATGCAAAATTTTGTTAATTAAATATGCATACGTATAGATATTTATTTTGAACAAGAAATAATTTCTTAGTATAAAATATTCATAAATTTTCAGAAACAAGACGAAAACTGAACTTTCTATTTCAACTTGTTTTGTAGTAAATTAGCTTGTTTAAAATAAAGAAACAAATTGGAAAAACGTTTGGAAAACATTTAATTAAGTTTCACCACCTGTTCTATAAATCATTTCAAGTACCATTTGCCAAAATAAATAATTAAACATAAAATCAAATCAACCAACAATTGTTTTGACAGCACTGTTGCTTCTGACACTTATTATTGTAGTGTTTTGAATAAAACTGAGTCAAGCGTAGAGAGGATTTCCAGGTTATTTATTATCCTATTTACAAACTGTTAGCTTGTGACAGGAATTTTTCCACGATTAAAAACATTAACATTATACTGACCCAAAAACAAAACTCTTCAATCGGAAAAAATACTACAGATTTACATGACAATAGCATGCACGTTGCACCAGTTTTTTCCTTTGAATGCAAAACCAAAACAAAGTTTTCACTTTGATGCTTCTTTTGGCACCGTTAGGCCTTGCCAACTTTGGCAAAACTTTCGTTTTCTCGTGTGGGCGAATGCATACCTTGAATAGCCCCATGGTAATCCGTGATAAATCACCAACGACACAAGCACTTAAATCGCGTGTTCACGAGGGTTTCCAGCATTCGACTGCACCGGTTGTCGTCTGCACTCCCGTACAAATTACTCAATGAAACTTTGATATCAGGCACTTTCCACCTGCTGTCGATGGCCGACCCACATTTACCATCCGCGCCTCTCCACAGTGCTTTCCTTTACTTCCTCGCTTGCTTTCAAGCGACGCAGGGGCGATAATTGGCCACGAAAATTGCTCAGTTTATCTGTGGGAAAGGCCCAATTGACATTTAACAGCAAAGACAAAGACTGGAGGCCTGACATATAGCACATGATGCACCGTCACGAGCTTTTTGTGCTTTCTACTTATTGGACACGGAGCGGCCCTGACATCCACAAAAGGCCAAAAAGTCTTCGAAAGTCCTCAATTTTCTTAATTGAACAATAGGTTTTTTCTTCAGAGACTAGTCGTAAAACTTGAAGAATTGCGCTTCTGGAGACGAAATAGGCTAATCGTGCCGCGCTGACGTTGATGACTCTAATGAGATTTTCGAGGGATTTTCGCTATTGATAAAAACTCGCACGAGGAGTTTGTTGATGCTAATTTATAAATTATTTCAAATTCTTTTCAATCACCTTCCCTTCGGCGACATTTTTAATTGGTCCGCTTGGTAATCAATTTTGCGATTTATTTATAGACTGACGCATAGAAGCTTCGTTATTTTTTCAAAAATAATTAAGATATTTCAGCAATGTGTGTCAAATGATAATTTGGAGATAGAAATGATTATGTTGCCACTTTTACGCCGCGTGCAGTGAACCCGAAAATAATACATTTTGCGAGGCACTGACCCTTTACTTTGAAGAACAAGCATAATGAGATTTTAATTTGACAACAACCGGAAGATATTTTTTGGAAATATCACTTTTACTGTTTGTGTTCGAGCTAGTTTTTGCTTAAAATCGTCAATTTTGTCACTAATGTGTGATGGAGTGACAGTAGAAAGTAAATACCTACGTGAACATAGGATTTCACTTAATTTTTTAGCAAGTTATCGCCAAGATCAGATATTCTGGAACGGGCTTTGAAACGATATAAAGGCCATTGCGCTGACTACTTTCAATCAAAATAACTCTTCAATAATGTAGATTTTTGTGATGTTGGTTGCTCTTATTTGTAGTAAACTTATTTTTAATATTATAAGAGAATATAAATACAATCTGCAATTTGGAACCAAACTAAACATAATAACAAATTGGTATAAAAACTATTTCTAAAATATTAAATTTGACAGTAAATAAATTGTATCAAAATTTTATTGCGTGTGTTTTATTTTGTTGTTGTCATTAAGTATTAGCAGCAATTAATTCATTTAATTATCAACATAATAGAATTTGCAGATAATTAATAGTTTTTTTTTCTAATTATTGTAAAGTATAATAAATATACAATTGTCTTTAAGAAAATTTTGTGAACAAAAAGTAAGGAATCAAGTGTTTTTTTTAACTAAGAGATCACAGAAAATAATCATTCATAAAAATTAAAGTGATATAAAAATAGTTTATTTATTATACAAGACGATAAAGAAATTGTTTATCTACGAGTGAAAAGGTTAAGTGACGAAATCACGAGTAGACTTTTTTTACGAGTAGATAAACAATCTTTATCGTCGTGTATAATATTTCGTTATATTTTGTACTCACCTACCAAAATTTCTTGGAATATAAACAGTAGATAAAAATTACTTTATTTCACTAGACGATAAAAGACTACTTTATCTACTGAAATAAGTTGATAAAAGCATAGTACAAAATAAATAAGATAATCGAGTTTTCAGAATCAAATTTTTTTTTGATAAAAATTGAATCAAATGTAGGTAGTTGCAATCTTTAGACCATAGCCTTTGTAAATAAAAAAGTTTTATAGAGGGTTACCATTTGANTTTTTTTGATAAAAATTGAATCAAATGTAGGTAGTTGCAATCTTTAGACCATAGCCTTTGTAAATAAAAAAGTTTTATAGAGGGTTACCATTTGAAAAAAAAAAATAACTCAAAAACAAAATGAAATTTCGAAAAATTTTATTTTTGAGAAATGTCACATTTTTATAGTACTTAGTTTTACCAAAAAATAAATAATTTATTCAAAAAATGTTTGGTTCCATCATACTTTCTGTTCTCCTAATAAACAGAGTGCATGATTTTGCTTTTACTGGCAAAAATTTCGAAACAATTACGAATAGAACACGTGAAAATAATGTGGGTTTGTTCTAAAACAATAATAGTTGTTCATAACTTTTTCTTACCAGAGATAAATGGCGTCACAATTTCTTCACCTAATAATTCACGAATTGCKCCAAAATTGATACAAAATAATAGTCATCACTCATTTATTAGTATGCTTACAAAATTTGCAKTTTATTCGTAGATCTCTCCATTTAAGAGGTTTTAACAAAAGACAAGAACATATTTCAAATTTTGGCGTCACTTTGTAATATAATAGGTTTGTTAAGAAATCTATCATTCTCAGAACAA